GGTTAGGATGTGGGTAGGCTGCAAGGGTGGGGGTGGGGTCAGTGCTGTCACCAAGGGCAGTGGGCTTTCTACCCTGGCAGGCTCAGCAGCACCTGGGATGTGGAAACCTTGCCTTTCTTGACAAGAAGAGTAACTATTTGTTCTGAAGGCAGAGGGATAACATACTATTTGATGTTTACAATTCCATGCATCATTGTATGTTGGGACTGTGCACTACACTTGCCTAAAATGACCTCTCCCTCTCCTAGGACTGCTCTACATTTGGCGTGTGCCCACGGCCATCCGGGAGTGGTAGCTGACTTGGTGGCCAGAAAATGCCAGCTTAACCTCACTGACAGTGAAAACAGGACAGCTCTGATCAAGGTATGTGGTAGCCAACTCTTTCAGCATGGGATGGATTTAATTTAAATTCACAGAATAAAACTAATTCACCTCACTGAAATATAATGAGTTGGTGAATCCTGTGGAAGATTTCCTAGAATTTACAGTCTATTTCTTGGTCTGATACTGACAGGCTGTACAATGTCAAGAAGAAGTTTGTGCATCCATCCTGCTGGAACATGGCGCTGACCCAAATGTTAGAGATATGTATGGCAACACTGCTCTGCACTATGCCATTGATAATGAGAATATATCGATGGCAGGAAAACTGCTTGCATATGGTGCAAATATTGAAGCAAAAAGCCAGGTATAGATCAACCAATGTTCTTTTCAAAGTATTTCAAGTGTATTTGTTTTACTGTTAACATGATTTTTTTTTTTTTAGTAAAACATCTGAAACTAGAAGGAAATATATTACATGCAAATATTGGCTTTACATACAGCTATTTAAAAATACATTCATAGCAAATATGAAAACACGAGGTCTGTAGTCTAAATGTGCCCCATAGATTTAGTTTAGCTTACTTCCATAAGTTGTGTCAACATGTAAAATTTAGGAGACACATACACAGATCTAGATTTCAGGCTTCTCTTAAAGGATCCATCTGGATTCCCTTGAGCTCATATCACTGTTCAGTATGCTGTGCAGTGGTTACCCCTTTATATGAGGCATATGTGCTCCAGTCTGCTGCTGTGCCTTCCAGACACCCTAGGAGGGGTATCTGAAAGGGAAGGAGCAGCGTGTGGGCGAGCACAGTGGAGTGAGAAGGAAGGGATTGCTTTTAATTTGCTTTCTGCTTCATGTTTATGTTCATAGGATCTTAACATAAGGTTTTCAGTTCAGTTGGGAAGTGTGTAATTTTGTGAATTATAAATTGTTTTTGCTGTTTTGCAGGATGAATATACATCACTTTTACTTGCCATAAATAGGAAAAAAGAGCAAATGGTGACATTTTTGTTGAAGAAAAAACCAGATTTAACTGCAATAGATAATTTTGGAAGGTACAGTAGTTCTTTTTTGTGCATTTTTAAACCTGAGTGGTGTTCTAGAGTGGTAACAGTCACTTGTCAGAAATATTACATTGATGAGATTAACTTATTATTGGGGTAGAGAGAAATAACACAAATCATCAGTTAGGTAGAAAAACAATTATTTGGACTGGGCGGCATAAAAATGGTGTATTGCAGGATTCATCTCATTATATTGACTGATGTTTGTTGATGGATGAGGTGATATTTTAAGTCATATTATATTAACTAAAGGGATTTCATATTGGTTTCATTTGTTTTAAAAGTATGGACTTCAACTTTTAGTTCACTTTGTGACTCAATATTGAAATTTCTTAACTCTTCTATAGTAGTTTCAACCTCTGCTTCTTACCTGCTTTTCCTTTAAAAATACCATGTTAAAGATAAATTAGAGTTGAAAATCACTTTGTCTTTTGGCTGACTCTTTGCTTTAGCTTGCTTTCTTTCAAGAATATTAATGTTAGGTTATTCCTATGTAACTATTAATTGCTCTTGCCAGATACTGCGGGTTCATTGGGTTTTCTCTTCTTTTTATCTCTAGCGTATTTTGATGTTATTTTTAATTAGTATGGGCAGAGGGAAAAAAGATAGCTTTAAATGGGTAAACTTTTCTTTTAATGAATACAAGCCATGAGTGACAATGAGAAAAAAAGAGATAGGCTGTAGATTCACACAAGACTGGGTTTAATTCTTAGCTTTTCTACTTGCGAGATGTGTGACCTTGGGAACATTACTTATCACCAAGTATGTTTTCCTATATGAAAAAAGAGGATAATATATCCTTCAAGGGTGGTTGTGTATAAGTAATGTGTGTATACATTGCATTTAATCCAGTGCCTCGCATATGATTATCAGCATTATTAACTGAAACTACTATGTCTATTATTAGCATTATTGTTATTGTTTTAAACCTGCAGATAGCTCTTACTTATTGACCCCAAGCTGATTTTGAATTACAATATATTATGTCAGACTAGGGAAGAAATGGATAATTCTTCGCTTAAATTTTTAGCTACTTTAGATAGTTGACCTAAGCATAGTATCCTGCCCATCCAAAGACTTTATTTTAGCAACTTCTGCTATGTCATATCCCAGTGGGACAAGAGGCTTCCTTGTTGTTCCTTCCGTTTGGCTTTGGTGGCAATTTACAAAGATAACCCCTTCAGCACCCAAGATGCTTGTGTCTATTAGTACATATAATTGGTTAATTCTACATGGACAGGCATATTAAATTGGTAAAGTATATAAATTTAGCTTTTAACATAACTTTGCTAAAGTTTGTAAGCATGAAACAATCTCTTTGTTATTTTAGAACAGCCCTGATACTTGCTACTTGTAATGGATCAACAGGTGTAGTCTTCCAGCTTCTTCAGCACAATGTTGATGTCTGTTGCCGAGATACATCTGGATGGACTGCAGAAGACCACGCCATTGCTTATAACTTTCAAGCGTAAGTATTTAAAAGGCTAGTGAACGCTAAATTGAGGTTTAAAGTAATTGTAACCATTGCATCTTATACATCAGGTGAGATTTCATAGTTGGGTTCAGGTAGTTTTGGAGTGGCAGTGAGTTAGTCCACTTCATCAGCCAGAAATCAAGCATAAGACTAGACAAGTTAGAAGTAGCAATGACTGTGGGATTCTTTAACTCAAGACTCTTAAGACTTTTATGCTTAGGGATCCTAATGTTTTCCATTTCATTCCAAGTATAACCCCTACGCATGGGATAAAATAGTTTCACATCCTTGATTTTTATAATTAGTTATTTGAGTCTTGAAATGTCCAGTGTATCAGAAAATGTTGGACTATCTCCTGGGAGCTATCTCATATACCCTCCACCTTGAATTTTTCAAGAAACTAAGAGGTTCTAAGTCCAAGGAAGACAATCATGTTTTACAAGTCAGTGGGGTGCAGGGGGTGGGGGTTGAGGAAAGGACATTCTAACTATTCTGTTGTTTATATGGATTCTGTTACTGTTTGTTTGTCATTGAAACTGCTCCTGCAGTCTGGTAAAGATTGACCTTTGCCCCTTCTGATTCAGATCCTCAGTCTTTATAGTAATCTATACGTAGGTTTCCAAGTCACAACTTGTAGTTCACATAAATATGTTTATATGCCCAGCCATTGTTTCCAAAGCACCAGTACCCTGCTGTGGCTGCTGGACATCCTAGCTTTACCCACACACATAGTGAGCAAGTTGACCCTTCCCCCCATACTCAAAACCTCATGTGGAGCCCACATCTTAGCCTGGAATCCTAGACCTTCGTGGTAAGTTATTCTTTGAGTCCCTTGTTTGTCTTCTGTCTAGGAAATATTAGTTGGGATAGTTCTAAGCTGTTAGATGTGTTCAGAGAGTGTTGCAGGAAGATATCAAAGTTTTTTCTTCTTTGTTACCAGATTTTTACCCCAAGCTCTTTTATATCTTATGTAGCAGTTTTTCTTAGATAGAGGAAGGTCCCTTGTTATCCTTCCTCAGAGCAGTGGGCACCAACTTGTGGTTGACCCCTCAAGTGATCTGTTTTCCATAATAATAAAAATCTCCCAGCCCACTTGCCCCTCTACCTCAAGTTTTTAAAGTATCTTCAAATTTTACCTCATAGAAAGCCGTTTGTCAGAATTATCTAAGTCTAAAGTAGGTGAATTGGACTGAACAGAGCCAAGCTTCATCCATGACTGATAAGCATCCACTTATAAAAGTAGGGCTTTGTGCTTGCTTCGCAGCACATATGCTAAAGTTGGACCAACACAGAGAAAATTAGCATGACCCCTGCATAAGCATGACGCACCAATCTGTGAAGCAGTCCATATTACACAGTTACAAGAGGGCCATTTAACTAGTTTGCTGACAAGTTCCCGAAAACAGTGTGAGTCAAAGCAAAACAGGTGCTAGCCAATAATGAAATTACACATTTTCATTACAAGAACATTGGGGTAAGGTAATCTGTGAAATGAGAATAGAGCTGAGCAACCCATGGTGTGTTGTGTGCAAATATATTGTTAGGATGTATGTCAGAAATGAGAAAATAACCACTTGCATCTCCTTCATGACACTTCAAAAATATGAGGGTTTTTGTCTTCCTTGTCAGTTGGAGATGACCATGGAGAGGAAGCATCATTCTAACAAAGATCCACTGGTTCAGAGTTAGAGTCTATAGAGGAAAAACAGTAGTAGTCCAAGCCAGGTCTTGACATCTGTTAGCTTTCTGCCTTTGGTGTGATTGTTGACATAAGTAACAATGGATAATCATGTTATCTATTTTAATGAGACAATCTATTTATAAATTTAGTTACAAACTATGAAATAGTTGAGATGTCCTAAATCATAAGCTACAAATAATAGAATAAGTAATAAGCAAAATTAGGACTTAACATTTTCAAAAGATCATAATATTTTAATATTAGAACAGATGGGAAAATACACATTGGGTTTCATTTGGGATTCCAACATAATTTTAATTATAATGTTTAGGAACAGATTATTCCTTTGCTTTACTATTTCTCTGAGCACATTAAAATGTGATTTCATTAAACGTTTATAATAACCTAGCGAATAAGGTGGTAAAACCTTCATTCTTTGGAAGAAGACATTGAGCCTAGGAGAAGCGACTTGTCCAAGAACAAATATCCATTGGTTACAGAGCTAGGACTTATTATGAGTCAGATCATTTCCCATTATGTCAACTTTACATGAGTTAATTTAGTGAGTTATACTGTCCTCACTTCATAAATACTTTACTTGTTCTTTAATTAGAAGCTTAGTAAGAATTTTGTAAGCTTACAAACTAAATGTGTATAATTAAAGTTCTGATATTGTTTGATATACTCTTAAGAATGTAATGTATTTGGTAAATGTTTTTCATATCAGTATTAAAATAGTAATTGTATTTACTACATTTTTACACATAGCATTCGCAGACTAATTTCTGAATATAAAGCAAACAAGAGACGTAAACGTCTTCAAAACAGGAATCCAGGTACGACTTGTGATAGTGAATTTCTCTCAATGGTCCTGCCATAGATAAAAAAAGTAAGAGGAAGGCAGTTTTGATCACAAAACAGCAGTTTAAAAAAACCACTGTATAAATTGAATGTGTATTTTTAAATTACTTTCTTAGTAATCTAGATTTCAGAATTATTTAAAAGGTTACTTGTAGGCAATTTATAATCTCAAACGTTATCTGAAAAAAATTCATTATCATAGTTTCTGAAATTCTAGATGATATTTTTGTGTAAATAAGAAAAAAGATTTTTAAGTTAATATGTGGTATGTTTATAGTCACCTTATGATGAATTGGACTTGTATAAAATTGGGTATTTTAATTTATAAAATAAATGCTTTGCATTTAATAATACGTATTACAGCTCAACCTTGAGCAGTGTGGGATTTGGGAGTACCAGTCCCCCATTCCGTTTGAAATCTGTGTATAACTTTGGACTCCCCCCTAAAACTTAACTACTCGTGGCTTACTGATGACTGGAAACCTTACTGATTTTACAGTCAATTAAGACATATTTGTTATGTTATATGTATTATATACTGTATTGTTACTACGATAAAGTAAGCTAGAGAAAAAGAAACTTATAAAGAAAATCATAATGAAGAAAGAATGTATTTTCATTCAGTGGAAAGTGGATCATCATAAAGCTCTTCATCCTCAGTCTTCAAGTTGACTAGGCTGAGGAGGAGTAGGAGGTAGAGGGAGATTGGTCTTGCCATCTCAGGTGGCAAAGGCAGAAGAAAATCTGCAGATAAGTGGACCCTTGCAGTTCAAACCTGTGTTATTCAGAGGTCAACTCTGACACGGTGATTTGTGTCATAAAAAATTAACTTTCCTTAAAACTAGAATTTCAATGAGACCTTTCTGGTACCATGAACAAACAAACAATAAGAACTGTACCAATACCAATAGGATGTTATTTTTTAAAGATACCCAGTGTGTGGAGAAGTCAGAAAATAAATTCCTTATTGAGAAGCACAGGCCACGTTACATATTCTTATACCAAGAAGGTCTCACTAGTATTGACTTAATTCCCCCCAAGTGGAAATAAAATGAGATATATTTACCTCATTAGGGTGAAATTTGTTCTATCTGCTAGTTAATTGTCATGGTAACATCAATTTTATTAGAAGAAGACACTCTGTTACTATTAGATAAAAGATTATTATAATAATATTTGAATAACCCAACTCTAGGCTCAACACATTATAGTAAAAGTACAGCAACCATTACCAGAACAGAGCAGGGGCTGCCTCTTTGAGGTAGGATACGTGCTTTGCCACACAGCCCTACAACTTCACATTCCCTCCCAAAATAGAGGCGTGATTGGGTGCCATTTTTCAGAGGGTTTGCTTGGTAATTTTCTTCATACAAAAATGTTTCAGAAGAACGAAGATGCTACTTTCCTACCTCGATGTGACACCTAATGCACTTGTACAATCTGAAGTGTATGAGGACACCTTTGATGTAATGTACATTTATGAAAGAATGCCTGTAGGTTAGGCTTTCCAAGTTACAGGAGACAAAAGTAGAATAGACATAGTTTTGGCCTTTAAGGTGCTCATAATTTTTATGCTTATACAACAGAGTTTTCAAAGAAAACATTTTCATTCTCGTGTCCACTTAATAAATATCAAGTGTCTTTAAGGTAGTAAGCATTTTTCTAATAAGTACAGAATGCAAACATTTAAAAATATATAGTCAGAAGCCATGGTTATTGTCATTTGTATTATTTACTACTCTATTCAGTGCTTTTTGTGTGTCACATGCCCTCTGGGAGTTTATAATTATTGTTTATTATGTATTTATCGCATTCAGTGTGTGCCAAATGTGTTATGTCCATGGTGGGGAATGAAAGATTTTAAAACATGGGTAGGATTTAAGGTAAGCATGCAGAGTGAGTAGACATTTGCCAGGTAAAGAAGCAGAAGAATGCTCCCTGTCAAAAGGAATATCTCACAAGATTGTATCTTTGGCAGAAGGAACAGCTAACAGGATTGCCCCTTTGCCAAAAGGAAAAGCAAGTGCAAAAGGTAAGATGCTTGAGGGAACTTTGCAGAGTTTATGAGCAGTTGGTTCAGTTTTGCTAGGGCAAAAAAAAAGTATGCTATGAGAGTGGTTGGAAATGATTCGAATACCTAGCTAAGTCAAGCTTAGGAAAGACTTTTTAAACATCTAGAAATTTGTAGATCTTATCTGCAGGCCACAGAAAAATTCTTCGGTAGGGTGCTTTTGACTGCAAACATTAGATGACCTAACTAACAATAGCTAAAACAATGGGAGCCAAAGTTGTTTTGGTGATTCAGTGATATCATCATATCTCACTCGTCCCTCTTTCAGCTGCGCTGTTCGCGGTGTTTTGTTGATACCTCCTTTCATGGTTGGCTACTTAGCAGCAGTTTCAAACACCATGTTCTCACAAGACAATATGTAAAGGCTGGAAGGGTTGTTTTTTTTTTTTTCACGTGTTTCTTTTAGAAAATGGAGAAAAGTCAGAAGCTTGCGTTGGACTTCCTGTGACATTTTATTGGCTTGATTACACCAGCTGCTCTTTCCTAAACCAGGCCCTGGAAAAGCAAATGTAATTACTGTGATTTGCTTAGAATAACCATTTCTCTTCTTGGAGCTAGGAGGGATATTGGATGATAAATATCTAAGTAGACTTGCATTTCTCCAGCAAGAAAGAATAAAGAATGGCTCTAAGGTAGGGAACCAGCAATGTTTGCTGCAGGCATTCACTAGAAATTTTTCAACAGGGAAGTCTCAAGATTAGATTTGAGGAGGATTAGGGCATTCTGGTTATGGTACAAACAAGGATTGGCAAGCTTTTTCTGTAAAGGGCTAGATAGGTAATATTTTAGGTCATGTAGTCTCTGTCATAGCTACTCAACACTGCCACTGAAGTGTGAAAGCAGGCATAGATAGACTGTGCTCCAAAAAAAGTTTATGTACAAAACCATATGGCAGACTGGAGTTGGCCTGTGACCTGTAGTTTGCTGACCCCTCACTTAGAAGGTAGATGAAAGGTAACCATGTAGACTGGGAGACAAAGGAAACTTTGTCTATAGTCAAAGCTATAGTTTCCTTATCTCCAGTCCCAATCTACTGTGATGTTTTCACCCATGCAAGGTGAAATAATTATAAGAATCTCAGTTTATTCATTTAAAAATGTTCATTTATTTTCTTGGCCTTATGCCCTTTTCATTTGCTGTCTTAGTTTTTTCAATTTAAGAAATATTAATAGTTGGTAGGGTTTTCTCCTCCTGTGAAAGACATCAGTTAAGAGGCCATGTTTAACTCAGAAATATAAACATATTTATATTGTGGCAGTGGAAATATAAAGCAGAGGCAGAAAAGAGGTGCCGTTAATATGATTTAGTGATTGTTGAAAGTAAAAAGTTAGGTGGCAGAGAGAAATCTTAGATCGTAAGTTTTGAGGTTGTGTACTAGTGTTTATACTGAATTTGAACAGGGAATTTCAGGTGAATAGAGAAGTGTAGGGAATAGGGAAGACGAATGTTTTTCCAATACATGTTGAGTTGAATGGAACAACCGTGGAGGAATATTTTCTGTAGGAAATCGGATAATAGGATTTCTAGCTGCAGATAAAACTCTGAGGTTGGATTTGCAGACATAGAATGGTCCTGTTATAATTATTAAGCAAAGTCATAGCTCTCAATGAGCTTGTCCATCGTGCAGAAGGTGTATAATGACAAGAAAGCCAGTAACAGAACCCTAGGCATAGCAAGATTTCCCAAAGGAAAAGGGAGGTGACAAAGGAGAATGAGCAGTAGCTAGAGAAAAGTGGGAGAGGAGTCAGAGGAAGTCACATTGCAAAAATTTAAAAAGTGAGAATTTCAAGAAGGGAATATCAATTCTAACAAATAAGATTACTAAAAAGTAAAATGGATTTAACTTGTACAAGCTCATTAGTGGTACCCTTTTCAAAAGAATGATTTTAGAGTTGTAAGGTTTACTATAGATGTGATTCATACTTCTGGTGTTCAAATATGAAAGAATAAATCTACCAAGATCCTACCTAGCTTTTTGGTAACTACAGCAGCTATGTACAAAGGGTCAGGGAAGATAATCTAGACTGATGAGTACACGTGCCAACATTTTTCCAGAATTGTCAAAACCTAAAGGTCACGTGTGAGCAAAAGTATTGTCTTTCTTATCTGCTTCTTATGGAAAAACTTGATTTACACTCAAGTACTTGATAAGTTCTTCTGGATACATTTTGAAACTGAAATCTGGTAGCAACAACTGGAACCTGCTGTCAGACACATACCTCCCTCTGTCATGGAATTATAATACAGCCATGTTTTTTTTTTGTTTTTTTTGTTTTTTTGAGACAGAGTCTCGCTTAGTCGCCCAGGCTGGAGTGCAGTGGCGCAATCTCGGCTCACTGCAAGCTCTGCCTCCCGGGTTCACGCCATTCTCCTGCCTCAGCCTCCCGAGTAGCTGGGAGTACAGGCGCCCGCCGCCTCGCCCGGCTAATTTTTTGCGTTTTTAGTAGAGACGGGGTTTCACCGTGTTAGCCAGGATGGTCTCGATCTCCTGACCTCGTGATCCGCCCGCCTCGGCCTCCCAAAGTGCTGGGATTACAGGTGTGAGCCACCGCGCCCGGCCCTACAGCCGTGTTTTGACAGTTTCAAGTTTTGATCAGAAGTGTAGTTTACAGATGAGGAGTTTGGAGAAACTGACATCTTTTGTGTAATATGGAGAAAAATATAAGGTGATATGCTGAATATACTAGTTCTCAGCATTCTGGGAATTCTGATGACATCAGTAGAAAACCCAGTACCTGGTTCTTTTTCTTAGTGCAATTCCCTCTTCATTTGCCTCTTCTGATATCTGCACTTCTATTGCTTCCTTTTGAATTTCATCCCTAAAGAAAACATTTTCAGAACACATTTCTAACAGACGTGTGTTTGACAAATGTGGATTATTTCAAGAGAATTGGCTACCTATCC